AGACTGTGAGTTCTAGTCCTCTCAGACATGAAAAATCAGCTGGGTGATCTTGGGCCAATCACCAGGAGACGGTGAATTCTAGTCTTCCCTTAGACATGAAAGGTGGCTGGGTGGCCTTGGGAAGTCAGTCACTCTTTTTCAGCCCAACTTTATTTCACTTGTGGAAAAAACAGGAGGCGGATGATATATTGGGTATGTTCATTGCCTTGAGTTATTTCTAAAAGTAATAATGGTTGAACGAATGAATGAATGAATGGTTGAATGAATGAATGGTTGAATGAGTGAATGAAAATAGAACAAGCCAAAATAGGCAAAGGGCAGGAATGATTGCATAATTTTTTTTTCCAAGATCCTTTTCAACTATGAGTTGAACTTTTGCATAATATCAACCCTGCTAGATGAATTCATGTTCTTTTTTTAATTAATTGCATTGTTCCAGATTTCGGGTTACCAAAGTGGAACAGAAGTCTGCTGCGAAGGACCGGAAACACTTGGTGTCTGTCAGCGGAGGCCACGCTGGTGACATGCCCTCTACTCCTGGGAAAGAAAGCTCCAAAGAACAGCCAGCTTCGCTTCCTGTCACACCGGAATCGAAAGAGCTGAAATCAGCACCGACCAAACAGGGAAAGGATGTGAGTTCGGATTCAGGGTAGCAAAGTTGATGGCAGGACATCCCAAGGTCAGTAAGCTCCAACCAAATCTTTTGTCACCAGTTCTAGAAGTCCTTAAAGACCAAAAAGACCTCAGATTGTCTTCCCCAAAGAAAAAAGATTGTAAGCAACAAAATTCTGTAAAGTTAGCCTTTCATTTTGAGTTACTGACATTGTTAATGTTCAGTTTTGCAGCGTTAATTCAGCGCCAGATGGCTGATGCTTCATTTCACATCTTTATAAACATAATAAGTAGATTTTACAAACCAGTTGTAGATTTCTCCAACATGGAGCAAACTCAGACAGAAACATGTTACAAGGTCAGAGCAGAGCTCCAGTCTTCAGCAAGCAAGTTATTTTCATCTTCAATAGACAAGACTCAGAGCTCAACATATCTTCAGAGCTGCAGAGCTTAATATAGAGTTATGCCTAGGCTACTTCTAGTTTGTTTCCTAGGCTACTTCTAGTTTCAGTTTCCAAACAGTTCTCATTGGCTGACTTAGTTGCTATGTCTATTCATTGGCTGACTTCATTACCATGCTCTATTCCAGTTCATGAATATCCTCTGATAGTTAAGTGAGGTATTTCTTAAGCGAGTTTTGCCCCGTTTTATGACTGTTCTTACCTTGGTGGCTGAGTGAATCACTGCAGTTGATAAGTTAAGTAACCCAGTGGTTCCATGGAGTAGGATTTGCTTGGTCAGAGAGTGAGGACAGGATTCCTGGACGTTACTACTACCGTCATAAATATGAGTCAGTTACCAAGTGTCTGAATTTTAATCATATGATGATGGGGATGCTGCCAGAGGTTGTAACTCTGAAAAGGGGCCCTAAGTCCCTTCTTTCTGCGCCCTTGTAATGTTGAATGTTGGCTAAATGAACTGTTGTAAGACAAGGACTACCTGTAGACCCTGCCTTTCCGTCCTGTTGGGCAGGGATGATGTAATTGGAAAGAGGTAGTCCAGGGCCGTCTTAACAGCATTATGGGCCCCGGGCAAAGCAGTGTCCTGGGGCCCCTGTGACAACAACTCACAGGAATGGTGGATAAAATTAAACATATATTTATTTTATTGGCACTTCCAACAAATAAATATGGAATAAATAGGTTGCTGTATTTAGATGATACAAGGTGCATTGAAAGGTTAACATACAGAGATTAGTATGGGGCCCCTATGCTCGCGGGGCCCACAGGCAAGGGTCCATCATCCAACTTTCCTCAAAAATATGACCTACCCTGAAAGTAAGTCCTAGCTTGATTTTTTTATACATGCACCCAATATAAGTCTTACTCCCAAAATAAGCCCTAATTAAGATCCCACCCACTCCAGAGTGGACGGGTAAAAATTAAACTAGGGTGGGGATGGGGGGGGTGGACTACTCTAGTAGTAGAGCATACTTACCTTTGGACAGTTGTAGTCAGGCCTTGCACACCCCGACACCTGCTTCGTCGGCCTATTTCTTCTGCAGCCAGCAAGGCTGGCAAGGCATTCTTGAAGGCCTCTGGAGCTGATAACAAAGCTCTGGCTCGAACCAGGGCTCAGTTATTGGCTACAGAGGCCTTCAGGAAAGCCCGCAGAAGAAGTTCCTAAAGGCCTCCGACAGTGAAAAGGAGGCCAGTGGGGGACTCACACAAGTGAGGTTAGTCAGTAGATGACTTCCCCTGAAAATAAGACCTGGTGCCTTTTTTGGTGGCAAAAGAAAAAAAAAAGAAAAGACAGGGTCTTATTTTTGGGAGCACAGTATTTTGTAGGATGAACAAGGACTGCCAACCTGACTCTTTTAACGATTGTATTTTTTTCTCCTCTTCAGCAGGGTTAGAGAAAGCAAGAAAGACCATTGGAAAGGGGAAAAAAAAGAGACTTTTCAAGGAGCTATTTGTGAATGCCACGCCATGGGCATCTTTCACTAACTGAATCTCTGCACCGTTCGGCCCCAGATATTTAACATATTGTTAATAACGGAATATTGAATGGCATTTATTCAACTGAAGGTTACCAGAATGTACTACCTGCAATTTTATATATGTGTGTTTAAAAAACGCCTTTTTATTTTTATTTTTCCTCTGACAAAGCAAGAACTTAATGAAAATTCTCTCTTGGAAATGGGGGGAACCCCCCCAAAACTCTTTCCCCACCCTAGATCTCTTGTATGCGTCGCACGGCCTGAGGTCGAAGCCGATTGACCAAAGCAAATGACACAAATCATGTAATCCCATACTGCTCGTTCCTTGAGCACAGGAGAAGGGAAATGGGGAGCCGTCTTTTCGCCTTAATTTATTGTGGCTGCTAAATAATACACTCCTTTAATTGCATTGATTCAGTGGCTTTACTATAATTGCTCTTTGGTTCTCAAAACCGAATTTAGCGTATTTTTCGAGCTTGGTTGAGCTGCTGATTGAATTTTGTAGATGTAGCCAAGAACTACCCTGTTTCCCCCAAAATACGACCTACCTTGAAAGTAAGTCCTAGCTTGATTTTTACACATGAGCCCAATATAAGCCTTGCCCCCAAAATAAGCCTTAAGATCCCATCCACTCCAGAGTCCACGGGTAAAAATTAAGTTAGGGTGCGGATTGGGTGGTGGAGCTGCCCTACTACTTACCTTGGACAATTGTAGCTAGGTCTTGCCCACTCTGACACCTGCCTTGCCAGCCCATTTCTTCTGCAGCTGGCAAGGCTTCCCTGAAGGTATCTGGATAACAAAGCTCCGGATCGATCCAGAGTTCTGTTATCGGCTGCAGAGGCCTTCAGGAAAGCCTTGCTGGGCACAGAAGAAGTTCCTGAAGGCCTCTGACCGTGAAAAGGAGGCCAGGGGTGACGTACGCATGTGAGGTTAGTCAGTGGATGACGCCCCTCAAAAATAAGACCTGGTGACTTTTGTGGCAAAAAAATAAGACAGGGTCTTATTTTCGGGGAAACATGGTAGTTCAAGGCTAGGTGTGCAAATGTATTCTTAACTTTCTTACTGAGGTCCTTTCTTTGGGCAAACTGTGACAGTAAAAATGCAGGCGGTCCTCGATGTATGACCAAAATGGAGCCCCAAATTTATGTTGCTGAGTGAGAAAGCTGTTAAGTGAGTTTTGCCCCATTGTGCAACCTTCCTTGCCACGGTTGTTCCCGGGACACTGCAACCGTCGTAAATGTGATTCGGCGCCCAAGCATCTGAATTTTTGACCCCAGGGATGCTGCCACGGCTGTAAATGTGAAAACGTGCATCACTTTTTTCAGTGCCGCTATAGCTTTGAACGGTCACTAAATGAACTGTTGTAAGTTGAGGACTACTATATTCCGCTGAGTCAGCTGTGCTCTTTTTCACATTATCCTTGTCACTCGTCCTTCTACCTGGTGGCATTTGCCTTGGGGAAGCATCTTCTGTTGATATCGTTCCCTTCTGATATAGCTATTTTTGCTAGATCAAGATAGATCCAATCCCTAAATTTGGAAATGAAAAGTGTGATGGATGATCTCAATGAGTCTTTGCTCTAAATCAGAGGTGAGGAATTGTGACCCCTTTATGACTCGAAGACTTCAACTCCCAGAATTCTTCAATAGGCATGGCTGGCTCAGGAGTTCTGGGAGTTGAAGTCCACGAGTCATAAAAGATCCAAGTTTCCATGCTGGCTCAGGAATTCTGGGAGTTGAAGTCCGCAAGTCATAAAAAGGCCATAGTTCCCATGCCAACTCAGGAATTCTGGGAGTTGAAGTCCATGAGTCATAAATGAGCCAAGTTCCCATGATGGCTAGGGAATTCTGGGAGTTGAAGTTCACGAATCATAAAAAGGCCAAGTTCCCTGTCTCTGCTCTAAATCATAATCCTGATTCTCAGTGGATTATTATTTAATTACAAATCCATTCTTGAGGGGGAAAAAAAACTGCAAGTATCCTTCAGGTCTACAGTGAGTTGTACTAAAACCAGTTGTGTGTGTGTGTGTGTCTCTCTCTCTCTCTCTCTCACACACACACATGGCTAGGAAAGCTTTAAATCAATATAAACGTCTTCAGCGGTTGACCAAAATCTTTGGATTTGAACAAAAACATCGCTGTGCCTGAATAAGTGTTTTTCTCTGTTGTAGTAGACAATGCTGCCATTTTATCGAGAGGCTTGTGCGATTTATCAGCTGCCAAAGCGGAGAGGGTCTCACTTTTCACATTAAATGTAATTTAACTGTGCATTAAATGTATGTTAACCATTTGGTTTGGTTTGTGAGCATTTTGTACAATAAACTTTATTGTTCATTTTGAACAATAAAAGCAACAGAGCCCTTTTTAAACAGCGGTGTTGACGTTTTCTCTCAACTTATCCTGCCCTTCGTGCGTGCTATATCATATTTTATTGGTTGTGGGGGCAAAAGTACTTTCCAAGGGTGGTGATAATACCTTGTTTCCAAAGGGTTTCCAAACCGCTTTTAAATTCAAATTGGAAAAAGACTTCAACCTTTTCATGTCTTTTAAATCAAATAATGACATTGAACGAAAACATAAACGGGAAGTCAATTCCACATGGAAGTACATAGCTCAGCCGGTGTGTTAAATGGAATTCCAGATGGAAGACTGGGAATGAGCGTAGATTTGATTTTTGATTTAATAAAATATAATTGATAGAGAATATTTGTAGCTCATATTGAACTGTGGCGAACCTCTTGCTCTTCGAGCTTGGTTTTCTGGGCGATGTTTCATTACCCAATTAGGTAACATTATCAGTGCTAGAAGAGAGTGGGATTTGCTATCTGTTTATACATTGGTATATAAATACTAGTACATTAAATTGTGTATATCTATCTATATAAAAGCGAAATGCCACTCAGGCATCATCACAAAATCTCCAGAACTGTAAAGCCTACTAACTTGAAATTTGGCCACCTATGATCCTCTTGGCTTCTAGGTGCTCACTAAGAAAGGATTTTTCGAAATGACCATCAGAGCATTTAGAGTATTTCCTATATTATTGTTATTAACACGCTCTGATGCTAAAGAGTTCTACTCCCCCTCCCAACCTGAAATCTGTTCCAAATGCAAAACACATGCAGAGAGGAGTTGAGTTTCAGTTTTAGTTTCACAGCACCAAGCAGCTTTAGTACAGAACTGTTGGGCTAAGCCATGCCCAGGCTCCTTGCTCACACAGCAAATACTGTTTCACTTTCTAAACAGTCCTCAACTCTCACACACTGACAGGATGTTAGCCAGAGGAATACCAATGGATGCTGGTAGGCAGAGGCAGAATTTTTTCCCCCTTATTTTCCTCCCCCAAAACTAAGCCCAACCACATAGTTTCGTAGTGAAGTATGGGTATCGAGCTAGTTCCTTAATATGAGAGCAAACGTCACTCCTACAAACTGATGATGTTACCCAGTTGGGTAATGAAATGACTGTAAGAAAACTATCAAGCTCAGAGAGCAACAAGGACCCCACAATAGATAATATTATGAAGCAAGTCATTCACTGGGGGAAAACACTACAATGACCGTAAATAAGCAAAACACTTGATAATTTTTCTCAAAGGACAAAATACGAGAGCCAGCAGAACTGGTTTTGAAATCAGCAAGGATTGAAATCCATCCAGTATTGGCATAGTTCCATGGATACAGAAAAATAAGGCACTGTCATTTTTATATCCAGTGGGTTAGCTTATCTATATCCATAAGGTAAAGATAAAAGTTCCTCTTGCACACATGTGCTAGTCATTTCTGGCTCTAGGGGGCGGTGCTCATCTCCGTTACAAAGCCGAAGAGCCAGCGCTATCCAAAGACGTCTCTGTGGTCATGTGGCCGGCAGGACTAAATGCCTTCGAAGGCACGCACAACACTGTTACCTTCCCACCAAAGGTGGTCCCTATTTTTCTACTTGCATTTTTCCATTCTTTCGAACTGCTCGGTTGGCAGAAGGTGGGACAAGTAACAGGAGCTCACTCCATTACGTGGCACTAGGGATTCGAACTGCCAACCTTTCTGATTGACAAGCTCAGCATCTTAGCCACTGAGCCACCACGTCCCTATCTATATCCATACATATATACAAATCCTTCCTCCCTCCCTCCCTTCCTTCCCACCCATTCCTTCATCTTCCTCCCTCCCCTTTCTCCTTCCTCCCTTCCTCCCTCCCTCCCTTCCTTCCTTCCTTCCTTCCTTCCTTCCTTCCTCCTCTTTGCTAAAAAACTCAAAGATACAGAGTGAAAATCCCAGCTAGGCCAAATATGTATGTATGTATGTATTTATGTATGTATGTATGTATATGTATGTATGTATATGTGTGTGTGTGTGTGTGTGTGTGTACGTACATACATACATACATATATATATATATATAAAGACTCCATTAGCCACCATACACAATTGCTATTCTGGTCAAGAATGATTAATATTATCCAGTTGCAGAGTATTTTCGAACATGGGACTTGTTTTCTAAATGGTTGGACAGTAGAGATAGAAATTAGGAGTGGGAAAAATATTATTGGATAAAAATAAATTGATATGGATGCTACTCTGTTCACTAAGCACTTATGTATGTAAGTGTGAAAATATATAAACTGTTAAAAGAAAAAGAAAATAGTGTTTTAACATATAATTGCTTACTGCCATATTTTTGGAAATGATCCTAAATTCTTGGCTTCGACTGCATTTTAATTCTCATTACAGCCACCTGCATATCTTTAATCCTGCAGGTGGCACTGTTATAATGAAGAAAAAACAAGAGCAGAAACTGGTTCCAACTTTGCTTTTTAAGTTCATTAAACATTCCTTAAACAACATACCTCGGTTCTGATTTACATGAAAGCTGGCACATGACCACCAAAGAAAAAAAAACGAGGATAGAAAAAGCTTGAACAGCATTATTCAAAATAAAAAAAGGTCTTCTGCAGTCACGACATAAGCCTAAGATTGAAAATCAAGCATGTTCAGATGTTACATCTTTTCTATCCTGCTCTACAGAGTGGAGAGTTGGTCTCTGGACAGAAAACCACTTGAAGAGACTAGAAGCGTTTGAATGAAAACTAGCTAGAATTGGCCCCAAAGGACTTAGCATCTGGCTTCCAGAGAGCTTCCGGAGCCTGGGGAGATAGTTTTCACCCTCTCGGAGACTCGAGGAAAACCTCCGGAGCCCGGGGATGGTGCAGGAGGCCGAGTAGGCCACGCCCACCATGGCCACACCCACCCAGCAACTAGGCAGAGAATCCGTGGCTAAAATTTTTGAAGCCCATCCCTGGGCAAAAGTCACTTAACCGAGGTCTCGCTTAAGCCACAGGAATTTGGCGCTCAGTTTTGTTCGTGATATACTTCCGTTTTGTGAAAACGAGATGCATTTTTGGCCTCGCTTGAAATGGAAGAAAGAGCTCCCAGTTGGCACCTCTGCTGGTTGAAACTGGTTGATTTCTCAGGCACTTTGAGCAGGGGTGTGTGTGTGCGCTGGGGGGGGGGGGGTAAAATGGTACAGTCCCAGGGGTCTAATTGAAGACCTATCTGGGTTTTTGTTTTACTCGTGTGAGAAAAAGAGGAGAGTTTTCAGTTGAAAAACTTGTTTTAACCTCCAGCTGTGGATCTTTCTTTAGCTTTGAGATGAAGATAAGGAAGGTCAGTAAAATCCACTTTTAGTGTCAAAGTGTGTAGACGTGGTAGGAGAGCTGGGTCAGCCAATTAAAACTTCAGCCCTTTTAATTTGTTAATTGGATAAGGGGCCACTACATTTCTTGCTTTTTTTTTCTGCCAAGTTTGCAAGAGAAAATTTCAGTTTTCTGAAAAGATAGTTATTTTTTTTAACAAAACAAAACAAAACAAAAACCTGTTGTAACTTACCTGAACAAAGACTTCCTACAGTTTCCAGACTATTTCTTATCTTTTTAAAAAATGCAAATCTCCTGATATCATTTCATGCAAATTATCCCAAAGTCTTTTTTTATATACCTTGGCTTTATCATTTCCTTCCAGAAAGGAAATCATTTCCTTGCAGAAATTTCAACACCAAATGTTAAGTATCTTTAATTTATTTTGGAAAAAAAAGGAAAAGAAAGGGAAGGGAGGGGAAAGGAAAGGGAAGAGAAGGAAAGGAGAGGAAAAGATAGGGAAGAGAGAAAGGGAAGGGGAAAGGGAAGCGAAGGAAAGGAAAGAATGGAAAGGGAAGGGGAAAGAGAAGGAAAGGAAAAAAGGGAATGGGGAAGAAGGGGAAGGGGAAAGGAAAGGGGAAGGAAAACAGGAAAACAAAGGGAAGGGAAAGAAGAGAAGGGAAGAAAACAAAGAGAAGGGAAGGGAAGGAAAAAGGAAAGGAAAAAGGAAAGGAAGGGAAGGGAATTGGAAGGGGGAAGGGGAAGAGAAGGAAAAGAAGGAAAAGAAAACAAAGGGAAGGGAAAGAAGGGAAGGAGAAGAAGGAAAAGAAAAGAAAGGATTGAAAAGAAAGTTTGACTCCCCTACTGAAGATAAGAGTTTGGAGACCATAGACAAGCCCTTGCAGCTTCAGTGTTTCAACATATGTCTCCTAAAGGGCATAAGATTACTTTTGAATTACCGGTCTAGTGTTTTTGAGTTCCTGACTTGATGCTTTTGTGGCCTTCTGCTTTCCTCCAAAAAAGAAAGAAGGATTGCCCCAAAGAGGGTTGAGCACCAAATATCAGTAATGGCTTACAATCACCAGCTTACTTTCCCACCACTTTGAAACAGGACACACAAAAAGAAAGAAAAACTATCGCATAAACTCTACAATCGGCTACACAGAATTTGTTTATTAAAAACAACCCCTCTCCCTCCAGGAAATCCCTGTTCATTTTTTATTAAGTTTCCATCAAGAGTCTTCTCTCTGCCCCTTCTGGACAATGGACGCATCCTGCAAGCCATCAAAATGTAGGTCTTGAGAACCATTCCTTACAGAAGGATATGTTCTCCTACCATGGTCAAAGAAAGAAGGCTTGGCCAAGGTCTTCTAGGGTAGAAGGTTGGTCCATGAACATTAGATGGGTGATGTTCATGACATCACCAATTACATCTACTGTCATTATATATCTGACTTGGTCTATGCGTAGATTCCTTTTGTCAGGCCCCTGTTGGAGTCTGAATCAGAGGGGGAAGACAAACAGCCGACCCGGAAGTGGGAGAGTAGCTCCATTGGCTGTGGAGGAAACTGGGGAAGGGCAAAGTCAGGCTGGGCAGAGCAGGGGAGAGGTAGAACAAGAGAGAGGAGGTTCAGAGAAACACCCACACTCATCTCCTCTTCATCCTAGGGCACACAGGGAATAACAGAGAAGAGAGCAAAGTGGGTTGTGTGGCTTATGAGAAAGGAAAGGGCCCTGATCCCCTTCACAAGGCACACCTGGGGAGGGAGTTTAAAGGAGAGGCAGATGGGAGCTGCATTTGTCGGGGACAAATGTTGAGTTTATCTAGTGTTAGCTGCTGTTCCTGGCATTCTCCCAACTGGTTTGATTTCCTGCCGTGTTACTTCACTTCTGGAACTCCTTATCTTGGCCTGCTGGATTTATTACTTTATTTTGCCCTGGTTGGATTTATAATTTAAAGTTTTCTGTTTATAATGTTTGGATTGGAATATCTGCAGCCAAAGGCTGTTGCAGGTTCCTGGGAGAGTTTTTCTCCAGCCTGGAAGGTAACTGGAACATTGGGGGCAAAGTTGGAGCTAATAAAGGGACCCATACTTATTCTCTGGCTGAGTTGCCTATGCACCATGCCCCAGATCATCACACCTTTGACTAGCTATGAACATCCTGAGCCCAGACCTCCAAATGGCTTTCTCAAGTGAAGCAACCCCTTCCTGTTAAAGAGATATGTACGTATCATCACTACCCCAACAGCCATCTTAATAGTCTTCCTCCTCCTCCTCCTCTTCAAAAATTTCACCAGCCGTAGCAGCCTCCAGGGCTGCCAGGGCCTCTGCAACGTCCGCGTCTTCTTCCAGTTCTCTGTTAACCTTGGTGAGGCCATCAGATGTAGCTTCCCAAGCAGGCTCTCTCTTTTTCCTCCCTGAGAGAATCTCGGTGGCTATTTGGTCCTCAAAAGAGAGGTCAAAAGGGCTTGTCCGCCAGACGCCGTCCCCTTCATCCGACTCCCTGCACAGCGGGTTCCAGTTATGGATGACAGTCGTGTTTTCCGTGCTTTGGTTGATTTGCACCAGGTGGTTTGGGAGGTTCTCCTTCCCAACAGTCCTCAATTTCTCAGCATGGTTGTCCTCGGGGAGAAAAGATGGATTATCCAACCAAACGTCTTTGTCTCGCATCTCTGGTAGGGCAAAAATGGGTTCGGCGGTCGTCTGAAAACCCTCCTCCTTGCAAAGAGCATTCGACGTTTCCAAAGTCTGCTTGGGGTAATTTTCAGGATCAAAAATCTCGAGTTTATCACCTGTTTTTGGCTGGAAGTCTCTTTTGGCTGGAGGTTCAGGCTGCTGACCAGAAGAGCTGTGCAGGTTAACCTCTTTCGGTTGGGTTTTATGATGAGGGGCGCTGAGATCCTTAGAGGAATGGATCCCATTCACGCTACATTTTACTACGGAGTTCCCAAGTCCTTTGTCTGGAAGAGCAGGGATTCTGTTACTCCAGAGAGCATCTTTGGAGTGGTAGAACCTGCATTGGTTTGCTGCAACCTGCATCTCTGCAACGTGGACTTCGTTTCTATGGCCCAGAATGTCCCTGTTCTGCTTGCAATGGAATTTTCCTCTTTCTTCCTCGTCTGGTTTGTAGAGGTTTATCTCATTGACGTAGGCAGCCGTCTGCACTTCTTGGGGATGGAGGATGTAGCTTGGGAAAAAAATGAAGAATACCCAGTTATTCCATTTCTCTCCCCTTGTCACGGAGAAACCTGCTCATTTCGCCAGAGTTTCTCACCTGAATTTGGAGCATCGTTTACCTTTGTGTGGTAGAAAAGCATGGTGCAACTACATTGAAATGGAATTAAAGTTAACTGACCATTGTCTTGATGTTTGGCAACGCAACTAAAAGAATCCCCCTTACTTCAATGTGCTTTCACTTCTAGTTGACTGTTTAATAGTGTCCGTTGTGGGAAAAACTAATTAACAAATATCTATCTATCCTCAGTATCTATCTATCTATCTATCTATCTATCTATCTATCTATCTATCTAT